AGCTATATGGGTAAGTTTTTGCAAGGGTGGTCTTGTCCCAATCTGGGAACTGAGAAAACAATGGCACAGGGGGAAAACTGTAGTGGAAAATCCTCCTACTTGGAGTTTTTGGCATCTGAGTTTTTTCATCTTGACCCAGGGCTTCAAGTATTACTTAGCCACATAGTTGTGGCTCAAATGATAGAAGTGAATTCGTCCCATTCCATTGCACAAAGAATGACAGGGCCACTATTAAGAAATGACACAATGTTCCACTGTATGTTCATGATCCTAAATCAAGCATGAGAAGCATAATGCCCTACTTGCACAGTTCTGTATCCACTCCTCATTTATCTTTTTTGGATGGGCAACAAGGGCTAGCCTCTAACACTTTGCTTCCCATCCAAAGCCTTCCTCTTGCAGTAGCAAAGCCTAAGGAAGGATTAGTGCTGCTGCCCCTGCTTATCATGGGGAGGGAGAGGGGGCAGAAATGCAACTCAGATGATGAAGAACCAGCTCCTCTCAGCTTGAAGGGGAAAGAAATAGGAATGGTATACAGATGGAGCTCACTTTCCTATCCCTACTCATCAGAGCTACATTATCTGAACCATGTCCTTCCCCATTAATGAGCGGCCACCAGGGCATGACATCTGAAGAAGAAGATATTGGATTTGTGCAAAGGGCTACAAAATGGCACAGTATGGGCCTTTGCAGACTGCTAGAAATAGTGCAAATTGAGTCCAGTTTAAGGGTCAGGGTTAGAGTTAGGGAATCATGAGAACTGTATTTTATTGTGGCACCTGAGCTTTCTGACAGCGAAGGCTCAATGTCTCAGAAAAAAACAAAAAGAAAAATTCCCATGATTCCCTAGCACTAACCCTAACCCTTAAAGTGGACTCAATTTGCACTATTTCTGGCAGTCTACAAAGGCCCTATGTTCCATCTAAAAGGGTCATGTATGCATGTAAGCCACACTTAATACACACAGATGATACTAATGGGATTCTGGTCTGTGTTTCCAACTACATATGATAATTCCTCAGGAAAGTCTTCTACTCTACAGCAGTCACTGATTCTGTGAGTAAATTTTGTTAGAAGCAATTGAGTGTTTCAGTATGCCAAAGCCAAAGGTGCACATTTTTCATTTGCTGAAAAACTGTGGTGGGAGGAGGTGACTTTCAGCTGTTCTGAGGACAGCACTATAGATGACTGAAGCAGTTATTACAAAAAAAAAAGGTACAATGATTTTTTATAATTTAATCTTGGGCATAACCAAAGATAGTTTTTACAGTTTGTTAAGAGTCCTGCTCTTGCTTCTTTTACTGAAAGCTCCCCCACCCACAACTAAGATTTGAAATGAATTCCTTGAAGAAATAAAAAAATCATGAATTCCTTTTCAATATGTAGTAATTTAACACTGACTTCCTTCTAGCCATACTAGCATTAAGGAGAAAAAAACAGAAAAAAGACTACTGTTTCTCATTTTTCAGCAATTTGTGTGCTATACCAGTTGTACCTTGCAATTATAGGCAATCCCATCAAAGTCCTGCAGTCAGTGCTGTTGCAAAAATGTTGTAGAAACTAACATTAGCTTCTCTTTGAATTACTCAGGGTTGTTGTTTTTTTTAATATTCCCCTTGTTCCCCATGTATGTGAACTATTTTATTCAGCAACTTGCAGAACTTGGAAATGTCTTTACAGTAGAATGTGGATAAACAGCTAGTGATGCATCTTTTAATTACTTAGCCATTGTAATGACTCAATTAAAGAGTATATATATATGATTTTAAAAAGAGCCTTTAATTGGTGCCAAGCTCTTGCTTTACTGTTTCAATGTTATTTCTTTATTCTGTCACTCCTAATCATTTACACTCAGTAGCAAGCCTCACATTCTTCAAATGACAGTTGTAGGCTCTAGGAAGATGTTTTGAAATAACCCCAGGTCGATCTTTAACATCAGGACAAAACATCATTTTGGACTGGAGGAGAGTAGCAAGCCATCTCTCTAGATTTAACATTTCCTGCTCCCATAGGAATACAGTGGCTATAATACTGGCTCTTGTGTGCCTTCCAGTCATTTTCTGAGTTATGACAACTCTAAGGACCTTATCACATGGGGTCTAAAGCAGACAGAACCCCGTCCCATCCCCGTCCCATTGTGTTTTTTTTCCCCATGTGTTCACATGACGTCGCACAGAACCCCGTCCCATCCCCATCCCATCCCCGTCCCATTGCGGTTCCTTTTCCCGTGTGTTCACATGATGTCGCAGAGAACCCGTCCCATCCCCGTCCCAATGTGGCATCATCCCCGTTCTTTTGAATGCCAGTTTCCTGGGGAATTACATTTGTGCAACCAGAATGATACCGGAATGATGCTGCTTTCGTTCATTGCGCAATGATGCTAGTTGCATCTGATAGCAATTTCCATCTTGTGGGGTCTATACCGGTATAGTTCTGGATTGATTCCATACCGCTTTCTTGCCGCTTTGAGACCCGCGTGTGATAACGTCCTAAGGCAAACCTATCATGGAGTTTTCTTGACAAGATTTGTTCAGAGGGTTTTTTTCTTTGCCTCCTTCTGAGGCTGAGAGTGTGACTTGCCCAAAGCTGAGTGGGGATTATAACCCTGGTCTCCAGAATTGTAGTCCAATGCTCACATCACTACATCACACTGTATCTGACAATAACACTGCTCACCCTCAATTGGTGCATTCATGATCAAATTTCAGTAAATAGTTATAGGTTGTACAACTATACATGTTATAATTTCAAAATGAAATTATGACTTCCACCAACCCAGCCAGTGTGGCAAATAGCTGGATATGTCAGAAATTGCAGTCCAACACATCAAAATACTATGTGGGGGTTTCACAGTGTAAATTTCCATATGTGGAGTTACATACTGATTATGCTATGTGATTCTTGTGTTGAACAGCAATATTACACAACTGGATGTACAACAGAATATTTGCCAGAATGTACAGCTACAAATGTCTGCTAAGAATGTGGCTCTGCATGTGCAATTTCAACATATGGGCAACTACCTGAACAAGAATGTTATCTATCAGGCAAAACTATCCAAAAGCTTTCACTTATGCATATATAAGATGTCAAGGAAATTAAAGTCCAGGAGTGCAGCTTTTTGAAGAAAACTGTCTCATAGAAGCTGGTGTCTCACACTGGCCAGCTAGCTGACTCTCAGAATTTCACAAACAGAAATGAAAGCAATCACTGTCTCTCATTATTATTGCCCAACCACTGGTAATTTTGAGACACAATGTCTCTGAGCCTACAGATATAATGTAACTACATTTAGAATAGAGATGTAAATCATTCATTATTTCATTCTTGCATGCAATAATGAATAATTATGGTAGTTTTCTCCCTCCTGCAGAAGAAAACAAATATATTTGCTCCAGTGACATCAGTAGGGTTGGCCTTACCCAGTACAGTAACTCATGATGTCACATACACACCACATTGACCTCCTCCCATACCACACCATACGGAATCCTTAGTAATGTTTTTGTACTACTGTTACTCATAAATCATAATTCATATATATCACTGAATGCTGTAATAGTTGTGACATAAACAACTACCAAAATTAAAATTATACCTTTAAATTACAATATCATATGTACAGCCTAAATGTATTTACATGTCCAGAGTTTCATGTGGTTAAAGTAAAAATTTGGTAAGATGTGATGTTCCTAAAAACAAAAATTAAAAGAATTTATGAAAAATATTTTTTTAATTAAAAAAAATTAAAAAATATTGGGCCTCTTCTTTCTCTTCCTACCAAACTTTGCCTCACTCACACAATCTCTTCAGCATCTTAAAGGGATGCACATGAATGTCACAGCCCATTTCTGATGAAAGGCAGATATTTAGGGAGCAGTATGGTATAGTGGTTTGAACATTAGACTCTGACTCTAGAGAACAGGGTTTGAATCCCTGCTCAGCCATGGAAAACCTGGGCAAGTTGCACTTTCTCAGCGTCAGAGGGTGGCAATTGCAAAGGCCCTCTGAATAAACTTGCTATTAAACCCCTGAGCATCCTGAAATATAATGTATCTGAGCAGCCTGAAATGTTCTGGGTATATACCCAGAACATTTCAGGATGCTCACATACAGTGAGAACAGTGAGAAAATCAGAGGCATCACACACACACATACACACACACATACACACACAAACTTTTTGTACAGAAAAACATGTGGGCATAATAATAATAATAATAATAATAATAATAATAATAATAATAATAATTTATATCCTGTCCCTCTGCAGGGAAATCTGTATGAAAAACCACATTTTCAACATAGATTTTGTTGTGTGTGCAAAAAGCTACATATTTCTCTGCACAGAAGAATCAACAGAACACCTTGAGACATTTGGATAATGGGAGAAAACTGTACATTCCCCCATGCAAATAGATGAGGGACCTCAATTGCACCAAGGAAGTTGGTACTCTGAGTTCCGCTGAGCAATTGTTCCACTGGTGATGTGGCAAATGAAGATCTCGTAATGGCAGCAGCAAGCAACCATTACGACATCTGCTCTTTTTATGAGATTACTCTTCCGAGATTCAGGAAACCTCATATATGGTAGTGTGGTTATGCAGCACATGATGATCTACGTCAATGTGCAGCACCAGGATAACAATCTTCTCAGATGCAGGCAGTAGTGTATTAGCTGGAGAAGCACCTCTCCCCTTCCAGAGTAAAGAGAATCCACAGACAGACATCTCTCAGATGAGGTTTTAATCTTAGTTCCTCTATGTACAAGGCTATACATCCAACAGCAACCACAATCCACAACTACTCTATACCACATGTGTGTTCAGAGGCTTCTGCTTACATAGCCAGAGCTCCATGTATCCCTCTGGCCCTGCCTCTTCCTGTGGACACTTGTCACTCACCTGAGTGACTCTGCAGTTTTGCAGCAGTTCTCTGTGCTTTGCAGCACCAGGTGACCATATCCATGATGTCACTTCCCATGACACAGCATGATTCAGCTGCAATCAAATGCTGTGTCATCATGGTTGCTGTTATTCCCCACATTGTACATTTTCCCCTGGGACTCCTTCTTAACAATCCCCTCCAAAATGTACAAATGTGTGCACATCGCTTGACTTGTGTTTCTTGGAGTGTGTTTGTGTGGACCTTCATGTTACCCTGTGTCATATTCCACCAGCTTGACATCTGTTGATGTCCTCGCACTGGCGCCCAGTGCCCTGGTACCCTGCCTATTGCACTGTCCACTTGATTTGTGCTCCCCAGACTCAGCACCTTGTTTTGCTTTCCCCAGCAGCACCTTTGTCGATATAGGCACACCTTCAGGAAACCTGTCCATCACTCCAGGCACTTGACTTTCCAGTGCTTCCATACTGTGGTGAAGATCTTCCACCACTCTGCACATGTCTTTGGGCTGAACCTACCATCCTCTTAGGAACTTGAGCCATGAGCTTCCACTTTCGCTCCTGGTGCCAAGCCCAACTGCACAGATATTCTCTCATGTCTCTCTATCTGCAGAGCTTTTGTGAGAATGTCTGTCACATTGTCCTCTGAACAGATTATGACAGACACAGAACACTGTTCTGGACCAGCTCCCTCACATTTTGATATCACACCCCTATATATTTGGTCCTATTACTGAGGTTCTTTGCCTCTGACATGGCAATGCAGGGCTGAGAATGCTCATGCACAACAGTTGGACCTCTGCACTCCTCACCTAGATCTAACAGAAGCTGCCTCACCCACTGCACTGTCAGCACACCTAATGAGCAACCCTGTGACCAGCTACCTGTCATGCAGCTCTGAAGCAAAAGAGCTATTGATAAAACAATCTCTCTCAGCTTCAGATCCCTCTAACACCAGCTTCCTCTCCTAACTACCCTTTAGGTACTTCAGTAACCTCTTGACAGCTGTCCAGTCCTCCACCTTTGGACTGTTGACCCTCCTACTTAGGACACCCACAGCAAATGAAATGTCTGGCCTGGTGTTGTTGGCTATGAACATTAGATTGTCTATGACTGACCTATACAGATCTGGATGCTCGAAGATCTTGTCAAACTCAGAACTGCTGGTAAATCCTGGACTTATGGGGCTCTTCACCACTTTGGCACTCTCCAAGCCACACTTCTCTAGCAACCTCTCTATTTTCTTTGTCTGATTCAGCATCACTTTGGCATCCACAGTCCTCTCCACCTCAATTCCTAGGTATGCCTTGAGGTTCCCTAGGTCTTTCAGAACAAACTTCTTAGCCAATTCCACCTGCACCGCCTTCACTTCCTGTTCAATCTGAGCAGCTACACAAAGGTCATTGACAGAAATCACTAATGCCA